TGAAGAGTTGGCCTCGGAAATTGTTTTAGTTCTGGGGTGATGGAGAGACCAGGGGCCATGCTTTCCAGGGTGCCTCCAGTCTTAGACCATTAAGTCTGGTCCTATCAACTTTAAAATGAACCTTGTATCCATCTTCTTATTTCTGTCTTTTCTTTATCCCCCTCTTCCCTAGTTCAAGCCGTTACCATCTTTGTTCAGTGAATTAGTCAGATTAGGCTGTATGTAGAGTAATGAATAACCTCCAAATATCAGCAAAGGTTTACTGTGCTCGTATATATTCTGATGTGTTTTGGGCTGTGCACCATCTGGTAGCTATACTATCTGGACTAGTGGCTTTGAAGATCATCACATGGAATAGAAATGACAATGTTACTTTTGTTGATAGCCTGTTGGTAAAAACTAGTCCTGTGCTCCAACCTCTGTGCAAAGAAGGCTGAGAAATGTGGGGCATCACATGAAATATTTGGAGATCACTATTATCAGATTATTACAGTTGCATCCTAATTGGTTTCCTTATTTCTTCTTGTGCCCCACTACAATACTTTCTCCACCTAGTAGCCAGAGTGATTGGAAAATAATTTTGTTCCTACTTAGGAAGTAGCTTCCACTTCTAAAACAATCCAAGCACTTTACCCTCACCGTGCAGCATACTGCATGATATGACCCTTGCTTTCCTCTCTGATTGCTTGATTGGGATTTAGTATTACTAAATATTGTCTTTGAATAGTGTATTTTGATTAGGCATTCGCTTTATTTTGTCAATAGTTACAAAAACATTATTTAAAAGAATGTCATTCACAAACTCACAGTAATGACTATAAACTGAATAAATAATAAGAAGAAAAATTCTAATTTATATGAGGGTCTCCTTAATCATATTGTGTACCATTATAATCTTTTAACAAAACAGCTTTTGGGAGCACAGATAAAATATAAAATCTTGTTGTAATGAATAAATTCTACAGCAAAGTTCTAATAATTGTTTTTAGACAATAAGTGATTTCACAGAACACAGGTTTTCTCTGGCTGACTATATGAAAGTCATTCCATCACATTATGGCATTTGTGAGACAAGTTTTTTTTTTTAAGAAAGTTTTTTTGTTTTGCCATTAAGTAGTTATTGCTCTTCAGTTATACCTTCCATTTCTGTTATGTTTTTCTTTACTTGGCCATGTGTATCTTATAGTTAATTATTCCAAACACATACACAAACTGTAATGCCAATTAATTTTTTCTAGTTGGCATGATTGGAATATTTTCATAAAGTAATTTATTTGTAATTTCGCAAACTGTGGATTAGAGCAATGCCATTGCCATAAGATACAGGAGCTAGGAGGAACTAGGGTTCAACTGTTATTTTCAAATATGCATGAAAGAAAGGCTTTTTATAAGTTATTTGTCATCTATACACTGTGAGCCCTGGAAATTGGGTTTCTAACAAGCTGTTTATCTTAAACATCTCAAGACGTCTATATTTGATATACTTACTTGAAATGTAGTGTAGCAGTGTTTTATCTAGTGCTGCTATAACAGAAGTACCACAAATGGATGGCTTTAACAAACAGAAGCTTATTCTGTCACAGTCTAGGAGGCTAGAAGTCCGAATTCAGGGTGCTGGCTTCAGGAGAAGGCTTTCTCTCTCTCTCTTAGCTCTAGGAGAAGGTCCTTGTCATCCTTCTTCTCTTGGGTGGGTCTAGGAGCTTCTGAGTGCAGGGACCTGGGGTCCAAAGGACATGCTCCCCTCCTGGTTCTTCATTCTTGGTGGTAGGAGATCCCTTCTTCTCTGCTTCTCTCTTTTATATCTCAAAAGACATTAACTCAAGATACAACCTAATCTTGTAGATTGAGTCCTGCCTCATTAACATCATAAAGGAAGGATATACAACACATGGGAAAATCACATCAGATGACAAAATGGTGGACAATCACACTATACTGAGAATCATGGTCTAGCCAAGTTGACACACATTTTTTGGGGGACACAATTCAACTCATTAACATAGAGCATTCATACTTTTGATAATTTTTGACAGTTTCTTTAAATTGATTTTAAGTAATTAGTTAGTAGTAATGCCTGTTTTAGCAAATGAAAACTATTTGGAGTCAAGTTGTGTACACTACAGTTTGTTACATGGATTTAGATCCAGCATAGCTCAAATCACTTGTCCAATACTTGACATCTACTTATATATAAAAGCCTCATGTAACAGTTTTTACAGGGTGCTAGTGTTGTCATTCCTATTTCCTTTCCATTGCTGTCCCACCTCCCATTCAGCCCTTCAGCAGCATTAATAAAGTATTAAGTAGCAAAGGAGATTATCCTACTACTGAATACTTAATAGTGAATAAAACAGGTGTTTGTGGGGTGGAAAATTTTTTTTTTGATAAGACGTTGATATGACATTCTCCCCCTTAATGTAATTAAATGTTTTGTCAAGGAAATTGGAATTGTATGACAGTAGTCAAGGAAGTTATTAAAACAGTCTCTGTGAAAATTTGATTACCATTATGCTTTGACTAACAGTGTTTGTCTTGTTCACAGTAACTGTAGTACTGAATGGAAGTGGCTTGTAGACAGAGCAAGAGTTGGCAGCCGATGGACATGGCTTCAAGCCCAGATTTCAGAGCTAGAATACAAAATCCAACAACTAACGGATGTTCACAGGCAGATTCGTGCCTCTAAGGTATTGTCTGTGTTCTTTTTTTTTTTTTTTTTAAAATTATTACTGTTTTTGTTTCTCCTCATTTCTTGATACAAAATAATTATTAGAAGACTTTATAAAAGGTAGCTGGTGTATGTTAAGATTTTTGATATTTCCTAAAATTTGAAGCTATTTTTATAGTACCTTTGTATTAACCAAATTCATTTTATCATACTTTTTGAGCGATTCAGAACTTCTTTGTTGGACTGTAGCTAATAAAAATGATATACATATTTTAAACTTTTAGTTTACTGACATTTATTTTAAGATATGGGAGAAATTCTGAGTGTGTCTCTTTGGTATCTCCTTAGAGCTTCTTGTGTGTTTTTTTTTTTTTGCTTTAAGAAAAATTCCAAACATATAAAAAATTATAGAAAGCAATATAACAAACACCTGTGTGTACTGTTATTGTTAGGTGTCATCGAGTTGGTTCTGACTCATAGCAACCCTACGTACAACAGAATGAACCACTGCCCAGTTCTGTGCCATCCTCACAGTGCTTGGTATGTTTGAACATATTGTTGCAGCCACTGTGTCAGTCCATCTCATTGAGGGTCTTTCTCTTTTTTGCTGACTCTCTGCTTTATCAAGCATGAAGTCCTTCTCCAGGGGCTGGTCTTCTTTATTCATTGTCCAGCTTTCGCATCCCTTGGAGGCAATTAAAGAAGAATAAAGAAGACCGAAGAAGAATTGATGCCTTTGAATTATGGTGTTGGTGAAGAATACTGAATATACCATAGACTGCCAGAAGAAAAGACAAATCTGTCTTGGAAGAAGTACAGCCAGAATGCTCCTTAGAAGCAAGGATGGCAAAACTCATCTCACATACTTTTGACATGTTATCAGGAGGGACCAGTCCCTGTAGAAGGACATCATGCTTGGTACAGTGGAGAGTCAGTGAAAAAGAGGAAGACCCTCAATGAGATGGACTGACACAGTGGCTGCAACAATGGGCTCAAGCATAACAGAAATTGTGAGGATGGTGCAGGACCGGGCAGTGCATCGTTCTGTTGTACAGAGTCGCTATGAGTTGAAACCGACTCGACGGCACTTTACAACAACAACAACAACAACGAGGCAATTGAAAATACCATGGCTTGGGTCAGGCACACTTTAGCCCTCAAAGTGGTATCTTTGCTTTTTAACACTGTAAAGAGGTCTGCTGCAGCAGATTTGCCCAATGTAATACATCCTTTCATTTCTTAACTGCTGCTTCCATGGGCATTGATTTTGGATCCAAGTGAGATGAAATCCTTGCCAATGTCTGTCTTTTCTCCGTTTATCATGATTGCTTGTTGGTCCAGTTGTGAGTATTTTTGTTTTCTTTACATGGAGGTGTAATCCATACTGAAGGCTGTAGTCTTTGATCTTCATCAGTAAGTGCTTCAAGTCCTCTTCACTTTCAGCAAGCAAAGTTGTGTTATCTACATATTGCAGGTTGTTAATGACTCTTCCTCCAGTGTACTCATCCTGAAATTTCATCCTGAAATTTATCAAATGTTAAATTTGTACCGGTTTGGGTTTAGTTTTTAGAGCAATAAAGCATTACCTGTATAGTTAAAGTACCTGTGAACTCCTTCCTGATCCCTTTCTCCTCCTCCATGCCCCTGGAATGACTATTCTGATTCAAAATTTTTTATATTTGTTTTTCTCATATACGTTTTTATATTTTTACCACATAGGTGTATATCTGTGTGTAAAATAACATTTTCCTTTACATTTAAAGTTTATATAAATGGTATTTGTTTAAATTCTTCTGTAGCTTGCTTGTTTTTGCTTGTCATATTATTTAGTTTTATACTACCTGTAAGTTATTCCAGTGTATGAATGGAATGGATATTATATGAATACAATGATATATTTATCTGTTCTATTTTCTATCAATAGTCATGTATGTTGTTTCAATTTTTATGCTAGTGAAAAGAATATTTCAGTGACCTTGTATCTCCTTTTACACCTTTGGAGAGCTTCTCTTGGGTATATACCTGAAAGTAGAATTGCCAGATCTTAGGCATGACTGTCTTCAGCTTTTCAGTATTCTCTGATGTGACTGAATATCGACACTTCCTTTGGCAGTGTGTGAAAGCTTCTATTTCTCCACATCTGTGATAACATTTTATATTTCATTACTGCTTAATTTGTTCAGTTTAATGAGTATGAAATGTTATGTTACTACTGTTCTTAATTCACTTGTTCCTGCATATAGTGAGAATGGGCCTTAGTGTTATTGACACTCAGATATTTTTATTTTTTGTCTAACAATTAACATATTTTGTACTCCTTCATTGGGCTATTCTGTGTGTGTGCGTATGTGTGTGTAGGAATTCTTTTAAATTTTGAGTTTGTAATATCACTTTTGTCACATGTTCAGTTTCAATATATGTGTGGGTCTTTTACTGCACTTCTTATATTTATATATCCATCCCGATTACACAACTTTATGATAAGTCTTACTTTTTAATAGAAAAGTTCCCCTATATTTCAGAATTTTTTCAAACATTTTGTCTTTCTTACTAGCCTTTTCATCCTGGAGTAAACTTTGGCTTTATTGATATTTTTTGTCTCTCAGTTTTCTATGGTTTTTTTTGTTTTTTTAAATTTTTTTGCTCATTTACATTAGGTTTGCTGTGTTATTACTGTTGTTGATGGTGATGTTTTAGCTTCTTGGCTTGATCTTACAACTCATTCCCAGTTTTCATTCAGGTATCACCTAGAGTGTATACCACATATTTCTTTCATTATTGTTCACTTCTAAATATGTTGTTATTTTCAGTGTTGTTGCCTTTTTAATTCTAGGGTTATTGAATTGTACATTTTAATGTTTCCAAACTCATGAAACTTTTTTTAATTGTAATTTATTATTTACTGGTTTTTTTTTTTTTTTTTTTTCTAAAAACGAGCCAACATAAGTAATGTGCCCACACATATAACGTGCTTAGTGTGCCTAGGAGAATAATGTGTGAGGGGTTTGCTTGGTTGGCAAAAAACACGTATAACACGCACATTATTTGGGAAAAGTACGGTAAGCATATTGTAGTCTGTGAACTGATTGGCCCGTATGGATTCCATTCTTTGTGACCTACTGCTAATCAAATTTTATAAATGCTCAATATATAACAGAAATATATATATTCCTTATTTGTTGATTACAGAATTCTCTAAATATTTATTAGCTTAAACTTGTTTATTTATTGTATGTATCTACTGTATCTTTACATATCGTAATCTGTCAATTTTTTTTATTGTAAAAATATATATAACAAAACTTTTATTGCCAATTCCATAATCTTTACATGTATAATTCAGTGACATTGATTATGTTCCTCATGTTGTAGATCCATCACCACTATCCTTTTCCAAATTATTCCACCACCACTGACAGAAATTCAGCACTCCATAAGCAATGACTACTTTTTTCCCCTTTTCCTACCACTTCTGGTAACCACTTTGGTGTCTATACATTTGCCTATAAGTGGGATCATAAAATATTTGTCCTTCTGTGACTGACTTAATTCACTCAGCATAATGTTTTCAAGGTTCATCCATGTTGCAGCATGATCAGGGCTTCCTTTCTGTTTATGGCTGAGTAATATTCCATTGTGTGTGAATACATATATACACACATACATATTAATGTATATATACATACACACCACATTTTGTTTATCCATTTATCTGTTGATGGACATTTAGGTTGTTCCCACCTTTTGGCTACTGTGAAATGAACATTGGTATAATCTGTCAATTTTTGATATAAGTTTGTTAAAGTTTCTCCTATCGTGGATTTTTCAGTTTCTCCTATTAATTCTGTTCGTTTTTGTTTCTTACATTTAGAAGTAATGCTGTTTGGTAGACATGTGTCTTAGGTGTCTAGTGCTGCTCCAACAGAAATACAACTAGTGGATGGCTTTACAAAGAGAAGTTTATTCTCTCACAGTCAGTAGGCTACAAGTCCAAATTCAGGGCATCAGCTCCAGGAGAAGGCTTTCTCTCTCTGTCGGCTCTGGAGGAAGGTCCTGGTGTTGCATTAGTCTTTCCTTGGTCTGGGAGCATCTCAGCGCAGGAACCTCAGGTCCAAAGGACGCTCTGTACTCCTGGCACTGCTCTTTTGATGGTATGAGGTTCCCATGTGTCTCTGCTTGCTTCTCTCTTTTATATCTCAGAAGAGATTGGCTTAAGACACTATCTAATCTTGTAGACGTCATCATTATAACCTCATCATAGTGATAGAGTTTACAGCACGTAAGGAGATCACATATAACCTCATCATAGTGATAGACTTTACAACACATAAGGAAATCACGTCATGACCTAGCCAAGTTGACAGATATTTTTGGGGGACACAATTCAGTCCATGACAACATGTATTGTTATTTCTTTGTGAATTGTTCCTTTTATGATTACGTAGTACGCTTTTATCCTTTTAAAATATTTTTCTTTTAAATTAAATTCTACTCTTATGCTATTAATACATCTTACCAACTTTCTCTGCTGGTTAGTATTTGACTACTGTATCTTTTGGCTGGCCCTTTATTTTTAGTCTTTCTGCTTGGTTTTATTTTAGGTATTTCTTTTATAAGCTAACATATAACTAGATTTTAAAAAAACTACTCTAATAAGTTTCTATTTTTCACATTTGCCGTTATTTCTCATCTCTGTATTTGCTTCTTATTTTTCACCTCTCTTTTGTGTATTTGGTGGCATTTGCTTCATTCCTTTCTCCTTCTGCTAGTTTGGAAGCTATACATTACATTTTTGTTCTTCCAGTCGTTACTCCTAATTTTTAACATACTTAACTACAAATTATTCTAATAATGAGTAAAGTTACTCAATGTTTTTATACTTTTTTTTTTACTTAAAGCATGAATCTCACTACCATTTAACTATTCATTGAATATATCTACTCCAATCTAGTTATTTTTTTTTACAGCCAGTAATTAATTACATTTGCTACTAGATTTTCTTAATACATGGGTTCACTA